TGAACCTGCTACGCCAAACCGGATACGAGATGCGACTGTGAACAGGGATACGAGCACGAGTTCGACGACGTGGCATCAGCAAGCCACGCGGCTGCGGCACTATGCGCACATACTCTGTCCCATCTTCCAAATCGTCATCGTCGTAATCTTCCGCCAAATTCTCTTCCTATAGTGAATTTTCTGTAAACTGTTCATGAGTTTCAGATGGCACAAACATAGAGTGCGATCGATTGGCGGGTTTTCCATCGCAGAGGCTGAAACAAAACCCAGGCTGGAACGCACCAGGCGGGCCGGTGCGATTATGCGTTTTTGCACTTCTCGTGCCGTAGCAAGATCGCAAGGAAATAAGTGTAGCTAACCCTGTGAAATACTGGCCCTCGGAGTTCGGAAGTAAATTGTGCAACTATGTGGTATGTCAGTTGTATGTAGCTAACCGTGTGAAATACTGACCCTCGAAGTTCGGGAAGTTAATTGTGCAACTATGTGGTATGTCAGTTGTAGGTGTCGACTTCAGTGTGTAGCTAACCCTGTGAAATACTGGTCCTCGAAGTTCGGGAAGTTAATTGTGCAGCTATGTGGTATGTCAGTTGTAGGTGTCGACTTCAGTGGCACGACAAATGGAAAGTTGCTGTCCCGCAAAAAAAGCCACACCAGAAGAGTTAAATTTGAAATCTTTTAGTCGTACATGAGTAGGGAACGTTATCCTGAAGTCTCAGCTTTCTAGCTTTTTTCGTTCCCGAGTTACACATGAGTAGGGAACGTTATCCTGAAGTTTCAGCTTTCTAGCTTTTTTCGTTCCCGAGTTAATGATCCCGCGCCAAAAATTTCCACGTGCCTGTACGTGAGCCCCGGGTGCTTCTAAACACCTGATTTTGGTTAAACATGAGTAAGAAACATTCCCCGAAAGTTTCACCTTTCTAGCTTTTACTGTTCTCGGGTCAGTAATTTTTGCGCCAAAATTTCCACCTGCTCGTACGCGGGCCCCGGGCGCTTCTAAACACTTGATTTTGTTCGTACATGAGTAGTGAACATTCCCTTAAAGTTTCAGCTTTCTAGCTTTTACTGTTCCCGGGTTAGAAATTTTCGCGCCAAAATTCTCACGCGCTCGTATGCAGGCTCGGGCGTTTCTAAACACCTGATTTTGCTCGTACATGAGTAGGGAACATTCCCCTAAATTTTCAGCTTTCTAGCTTTTGCTGTTCCCGGGTTAGAAATTTTCGCGCCAAAATTTTCACGCTCGTATGTGGGCTTGGGCGCTTCTAAACACCTGATTTTGTTCGTACATGAGTAGGGAACATTCCCTCAAAGTTTCAGCTT